CTATGAAGAGAAATGTGAAAAAATGCGATTAGCTGAAAGACAAAAAGATTATCGTTGCAAACAGGGTACTCCACAACTGCGTGTTCAGGGTAGTAAAATATTGATGCAAGCAGCTACCTTGTACACAATTACTATTTATAACTTGTTTGCCGACGAATTTGTTTCTAGTTTGACTATACATTTAGAACCTCTGTTCTGTGATGGCCAACTTTATATTTATGACTCGAGTGCAGAAAGCCAAGAAAGGCATTACACTATGGAATTTAATTTGTCAACTTACGATGTTGTCTATTCTTGTAAGATGTTCGAGTCGAAGGGTTGGTTATGTCGGCATGCACTTAAAGCATTAAATATGTGGAGTATCACTGAGATTCCAGCTATGTACATATTGACCAGATGGACGAAATTTGCCAGGAAACAAAATCCAGTCCAAAAGTGTGGAGAGTCCTCCAAAAAGAGAAAATCATCATTGACAATTGAAAGAAATTATTTAGTGCAGTTGGCTTGTCGCGCTATTAGTCATTTAGTCATGACAGATGAAGGAAAGAAGATGGCAAATATGAAAGTAGCAGAATTGTGGGGAGAAGCCAAAAGACTCATGGACATTAGCAATCCAAGGAACAATGGTGATACATTGGGTGCTGATTGTGCACGTGAAACATTGGTGTTAGACCCTCCATGTGTGAGAGAAAAAGGAGTCACAAATGCTCGCAAGAAAAGCTATTTGGAGAAGAAGAAGCGAAGGAAGAATGGAGGTTACACATGTTCTCAATCCGGTTTTGAACCAGGTTAGAAATCCTTTTGTGTTAGATTGTTACTGATATAAGATATTGGTTTTAATCATCTTACATTTCTTTTTCTATTTTTATCAAAGGAAAAAGTAGACCACCTTATCAAAGGTATTGCATTTAAATAATTAAGACAATGTTATAAATGTAGTGTATTATAATTGGTTGTAAATAATTTTAAAATGTGCATACAGAACTCTTCAAACAAAATTGCTAAAAATGATATGAGCAGGGAGCTACCAGACTTGAGTGACGGTGGGCAAGATATTTAAGAATGTTCTCCACAGCACTTCTGGGGAAGAATGTCGACTGACATGGAAGACCATTTACTCTTTTCATACTAGCTACTTCACTTTAAGCAAAGTGCACAATGCTCTGTAATATATGCTTCAGCATTTTTGCAGTTGAATTTGCATTGAGGGGTTTTGGTTATGTTTGTGATTTTGTCCAATCATCCTACCAAACATGATGCCCAACTCATTATCTAAGGAACGAGTTGTACCTCATATGAACAGCAATGACCATGGGTATGTAGCAATGAAATGGCCACCATTCTTGAATTATCAAATGACCAAGGTTCCAACCACCAGATTGCTACAAGGAGATATTCAAGCACCAGTTTGCTGTAAGAAATACAGTGACTAAATAGGTTCTTCAATTGGAGTGGATTGTAAGAAATATAGTAATTAAATGATTCTACAATTGGAATGACATGACCACTAAAAACAGAAAATGGAATAGATTGAACAAAAGAACTTAGAGACTATTGTTCAAAACTTTTGGACTGTTGCCCAAATGGCATTGTACTCTTAAAGTCAATTTTTCAGATGTTCAGTATTTGATAATAGCCAAGGAGTAAGCTTCACTTGGTCAATCCCCAAGTAGCACCAACACAACTAGTAGTTGCGTAAACTCACTCATTCTTATTAGTCTAAAATATACAATGACAAGTTACAAACAATCAACAACACAACATAGATCTTGACCCCATGGTTGCGGCACTAGAAGATTGAATAAACAATGCTGCATAACACTCGGCTTATAATAGCATGTTTGGTTTTTACAGGACACAATGTTGTTCTAATGTAAACTATTTTTTTTTTTTTTAAGAAAAAGAAATTTTTATAGAATGAATCAAAGAATTACAAGAATTTAATAAGTCAACCAAAAACAGATGACAACCCAAGAACCTCATGTTAAACCGAAGCCAATCATTCATCCCTTGAAACATGCATCCCATTTCAGTTTTCATCAGTGTTTATATACTATGGGTTGTAACCTTGTCCTCCAACATTAGCATTGGGTTATCCTACTATTTTTTTAACAACAAGAGACTTCTGTAAGGCAGTTCACATTGGGGCCATTTCTATAGAGTAAATTCTAGATATTTACAATCACTCACTCGCTATCTGCTATCACTCATTAACTATAAGTATTAGTTAAACTCATGAAGTCACGAGCAAGAGTTGAACCTCAGGCTAGTCAGCAATGAGATTTGAATCTTGGAGAGAGAGAGAGAGAGAACTCAGTGAGTCACGAGCAAGAGTGGAAGCTTAGGCTAGTCATTGGACCAACGAGAGTTGAATCTTGGTGTGTGTGTGAGAGAGAGAGAGATGTTGAATGATTTTATGTTTACATCTAAAAGTGGGAAGAAGGGGAAACTTAGGTCAGTGACCACAAGAACTAATGGAAGACAATCACTGATTTGAACAGGACACAGTTGAGGACCGCTTGCGAGGAGGACCTTATCTTACGAAGAGAAAATGACAATGGTTTGGTCGGGTGTCATATAGGAAGCTTATGGCTATTGAGGCACATTGAGTCCAAGACAAAACTATACCATAAATTCAATACGACATTTATTGAATGTGACATTCTCTCTTCCCTCTCCTTCATTTTTGTTCTCAAGAAAAAAGGAAAGAAAGTAATTAAGAAAATTGTTCATGTTCATTACTTCATTAGAGAGAGAGAGATGGACAGATGCTTAAAAATATTCTTTCAATGTTGAACCATGCATCATGGATTAGTGAGGTTTCATTATTATTTTTAAATTTGTGATAAATGATTTACCATTGAAAGAATTGAAAAATAAATAAATAAATATCCACATGAATCTCACTAAACGAAATCTGATTTTTGACCTTTGTGCCATTCTCGCTCCTGTGTATTTCCTTTTTATGATCTCCTCCGCATAAATTAAAAACTAATTCTTATGCTGTTGGCTAGAGGTGAAATAAAGAGTTGGATTTGCATAGCCAACGGTAAAGATTAAGTGAAAGTTATTGGTGATTATAAAATTTAGCGATATTTATTGATGATGTATGAACTTGAAATGTGAGAGGTATGCTTAAGCTAAAGAGTTCAAGACTTGTGAACAGTTGTGTGAGTGAACAGTAGAGAAGAAGATGACCCAAGGTTGAGCCTACTGGCTCTGCGCAATCCTACAGTAAACCAAGAATAATAGTAAAAGCTGAGAATAGAATGGAACACATAGATTATAGTGGTTTACTAACTAAAAAGTTTGATTAATCTATTTTAATGGAATCTCTTGCTCATTGGAAAATTGTCTATTACTTGGGAAATAAAAATAAGATTACAATTTTTTTAATGCTTTTACATGAAGGAGGTGTTTATATTTATATTCAAAGGTGGGGTGGTCCTTCCATTATTATCACATGATTTCTAAGTTTGTTAAGATTTTGTTGAGGAAACATTAAGCCGTTAAATGCTACATTTTTCAAGCATAACGTGATTTTCTAAAACTTGTTGAGTTGACATTGTGGCCAGTCTTCAAGTTTGGATATGATTTGGTCTTCCATACGTATGAAAGAGATTTGTTGTGAGGTTGTTTAACTTTGGAATGATCTCCTATTCTTTTGGCTAACTGGTGAGTAAGGGAGCTCGATCCAAACAGTGGTCCTGAGCTAGAGATGTTAATTCTCCTCATGATATAGCATGGCTGACGTGAATATCTCTTCGTGAGGTTGGTTGCACTTGGACGACTAGAGTCCTTTGATTGAGTATATATGTGAACCGCGTAGACATTTTTACTTGAGGCTGAATACTATTATAAGGTCGAAAGATAGACTTCGTCCATTGACTCTTTCACTAAACCAACTATTGAAATATTTTTTTATTTATTCTTGATGTTATTTTTTTGGGTATCATCATCTACTAAACCTTCATAATTGGTTGATCATCTCATCATGCGATGATAATGAGATAGTACAATGTTATATTGAATAGTTTCTTCGCCCACCCCAACATGGTAGATTTATAAGGTAAATGCTTTTCCTTCCCTCTGTATAACAGAAAATCAAAATTGCAGGAGGGGGAGGGGGAGGGGGAGGGGGGGAATAGTGCGATGGTACAGGTAGGTAGTCATTGTGTGTCTTTGACTCCGCAAAGTTTTTCTAAAAAGAAAAAAGAAAAAGAGGGGGGAGCCTTTTGTGTGTGACTGTGACTGTGACTGTGAGCTCTCGTCCTCTCACTGCCCCGAACATGGCAAAAGCTACAAACATCACAATAAAATGTACAAATTTCCTGTCTACCCACCAACCTCTTCTATGATTTAGTTTAGACTATATATGAAATACACAAAAATAATTGAGATTTCTTAGAATTGGAAACTTATAACACTTAGACCCCCATAAATAATATTAAAATGACAATTTCTATCCTCCCATTTTAATTCAAACACAATTTATCTTTTCCTTAGCATCCTCTCTTAAATTTCTAAAATTAAATTATATCAATAAATAATGACCCAGTTAAATTAATTATCAAATCACACCCTAGTAGTTAATTAAACAAATTATTCCCATTTGCTCAATCAAATAATGTCATCAAGTGCATTATTTAATTTTATTTATTTTTTTCATTTCTCTTGATAAGTCATCCCCTACTGTCGGATGAAAGACTCGTTCATATACATTGGGTTATATTTAAATTATGGTTGTGATTCACCAACAACAAAAATAGACATAACATGTATTAGAGAAATCTCACTTTCCCAGTTCGAGTCTCTCTCTATTAAGGCCATTATTGGATGGGAACAAAGTTTGTACGTAAATAATCGTTAAAGTTTAAACAACCATGACCATGAGAGAGAGAGAGAGAGAGAGAGAGAGATTGCTTGTGTTTATAAGAGACAAGACTGCTTCACGCTGATGCCTACAATGAACGGTAGAGACACAATTAAAATCCTCTCTCTCTCTTTTCTCTCTCTCTCTCTCTCTCTGAAGATGGCCACAAGACGTCCCGCTCTTCTCCCCCTCTTCACGTTCATTCTTTCTCTCTCATCTCTCTTTCTTCCTTCACTATCCTCCATTGACTCCTTCGTCTACGTAGGCTGTTCGCAGATCAAATACACTCCCGACTCACCCTACGAGTCAAACCTCCACTCACTCCTCACCTCCCTCGTTAACTCAGCCACTTACTCAGCCTACAACAAATTCACCATCATGGGCTCTTCCTCAGAGGACGCACTCAACGGTCTCTACCAATGCAGAGGTGACCTCTCCATGCCCGACTGTGCCACCTGCGTGGCTCGTTCAGTGAGTCAACTCGGGACTCAGTGCTCTCAAACTTGCGGTGGAGCTCTACAGTTAGAAGGGTGCTTCGTCAAGTACGATAACACATCTTTTGTAGGTGTAGAGGACAAGACTGTGGTGGTAAACAAATGTGGACCGTCGAGTGGTTTTGATGCGGATGCCACGAATGGTCGAGATGCAGTGTTGGCTAGCTTGGGTGGGGCCGGTGGGCCCTACAGGGTTGGTGGGTCCGGAGATGTTCAAGGTGTGGCTCAGTGCGTAGGGGATTTGAGTGTAGGCGAGTGTCAAGATTGTGTATCGGAGGCAATCGGACGGTTGAAAAGCGAGTGTGGTGGTGGTGGTGTTTATGGGGACATGTTCTTGGGCAAGTGTTATGCTAGGTACTCGACTAGTGGAGCTCACATTTACTCCAAGCCAAATCATGGTAATAATTCTTCCACTTTAAAATTTTCAAAAAAATCAAAATTCCAATCCACACACACGTATACAGATACAGTATGCATGTATCAAATATTAAATTGATAAGAATAAATATTAAACTTATCTTAACCAAAAGGAGAAGAAAGACATTGAAAATGCATGTGTGTGTATAAAGAATGAGTGGATTCGGATGAAAATGGGGTGAATCCATTTAGACTCATCAAAGAAAATAGGTTTATGTGAAACTAACTTAACACGATACGTATTTATCAAAAAAAATTAACACAATATGAACTCATTATATACAGTTTATACATGACATAAACTCAATTATGCACAATTATAAATAAGATGGATATGAAACCAACCCAATGCTACCCGATCCATTAATAGTTCTATTCTAAGAAGTACAAAGGGTGTCGAGATAGGGGGAATTCAATATCTATTTCTTTTTTCTTTTGTAAATATCACTTGAACCCAACAGCTCAATGTTATATTCTGATTCAGTTATGTTATGTCATGTTTTTCTTTCTTTCTTTTTTTTTTTATCCTTTTTTCATATTATGCAGATTCATCTCACGACGAGGGTGAGAAAACATTCGCGATTATCGTTGGATTGTTAGCTGGGGTTGCTCTAATTATCATTTTCTTAACTTTCATGAGAAAGGTGCTAGAAGGAAATGGTATGATATTTTTATTACCTTTTAATGTTACAGGGACCCAATTCGAAAGCTTAATTAGAGGCCTAATTCAATGTAACTATTGAATTGAAAGCGTGTTTCACCTAACATTAAAATTCACAATTACATCCCAGATTAGGTCCCCAAATTAGACGTTTTCGTTTGTTTTCTTTTCTTTCATCTAGTATGTTTTCATATTCTCAAGCATTTCCTATTCAAAGTGAGACACCAAGAATTCATCAGTATATTCTACACCATTTATTTAGCTTTCTTTTGCCTTTTGCAGGTAAATAAAATACTATTTGCAAGAAAAACTGGCACAGCCTTGGATCATCACTCTCCTCNTAGCTTTCTTTTGCCTTTTGCAGGTAAATAAAATACTATTTGCAAGAAAAACTGGCACAGCCTTGGATCATCACTCTCCTCTGATCTGCTTTTGATAGCTCTTTTCTCTTCCTTTTTTCATTCATGATGTCAACTTTTTCCTTCTTTAAGAATTTACTTTAATTTTCTATCCGAAAGAAGATTGCAAAGAAGAAATGGAAAGATGAGTCAAGGTGCACGGCTTTTTCCCTCTTGCTAAGTTTAAAGAAGGAAAAAAGAAGCAAAGATTCCATCCACCACTTAACAAAGTTGTATTGTCTAATGTGAAAAAAAAATGGCACATTATTTCTGTAAAGGGACAGGATGATGTTTGTTCCTGATGTTGTCTTGGTTGGTGCTGTTTTATCTTTAATGGCATTTGCTTCAAATATTGAACCATACTACTACTTACAGTCTCAAAGCAACAGTCTTCCAACTAAAACTACAATTCACAAGAGAAACTTTCATTGTACCCACGCATTTTTTTGGACTCTCAGTGTAACCCATTTTCCATTTGTAACCGACCACAAACAACACGTATTAGATTTCATTTCCTGAATTGGGAAGGGTAGTATTTAGGAATTCCCTTGTCTCTATTGAAAATCGATCTAAGTCTGTCAAATCAAGTTGTATACAACTTCTCAACCATCAATTGCAGGCAACATCACCGTCCGTATCTCAAGTTAGATGCAATGTCCATCATACCATTAGTTAAATCCTATTAATTTCTGCAGGACCTTATATCACTATGACTCCACACTTATTTTATTTTATTCGGTCTAGANTCATCACCACCACGACTACACCACCACCTTAACCGTCACCATTCACCATCACTATTATCGTTATCTTATTCTTATATTTATTGTCACTGTCATCATCGTCCTTACCATCACCACCGTTGTTGCCACCTTAGCACCATCGTCATGTCCCATCACCACCCCTATCGCCCCACCACCATTATTACCGTTGTCACTCACCACAAGCATCACTGTCTTCCACCACCATTTGCCCTCATTACAAATGGTGTTTAAATTTCTCTCTTTCTCTTCTATCTTTGTAATTTGATTTTGGGTGTGAATACAAATTTATTTATTGTTTATCATTTTTTTATTACTCTGTACATTCAGCCACAAGAAATAACTAGTACGTATATATTAAAAGATACATATGTAAATAACATACATTTTAACACATATAACTAACTTTATATCCATTTTTCTTCTTAATTTTGAAAGAATTGATTTTGGTGAGTTAAAAAAAAATTTAATAAATATATTTTTTTATTATTCTTATTTTTCTTTCTTATTAAATATGATATTTTATATGTCTTTTTAATTTTTCATCGTTCTAATTTTTTTATCTTATTAAACAAAATATAAGTAATCATTATACATTACATCATCACTGTTATATGATTATATAATATCATTATTTTATCATCATCTAATATGATATAATTAAAATAAATTTTTATCGAATGGCACAGTTTAAATATGATATAAACCTAACCAAATAGTCTTAGATTCAACTTAGGTCGGACGGCTTAGATTACAACAAAAGAGCCGGTCCACACTGAAGGGTTAAATCCGTAATTCCCACTTTACACATTTCTTCCGTCCTTCGTACTTCACAGATCACACCTTCCTTCTTCCCTCTTTCCTGTCCACACCACACCTGACCTCTTTCCAAATCTCATTCTGTTGCATACACACGGTTCTCTTCCTTCTCTAATAAGTTAATGGCATTGGAGTGGGTGTTGCTAGGTTACGCTGCAGGCGCAGAGGCGATCATGGTCCTCCTCCTGACCCTCCCAGGCCTCGACCCACTTCGCAAAGGACTCATCACAGTGACTCGCAGCCTCCTCAAACCCTTTCTCTCTGTGGTACCCTTTTGCCTCTTCCTCCTCATGGACATCTATTGGAAGTACGAGACTCGACCTTCGTGTGAAGCTGAATCGTGCTCTCCGTCGGAGCATCTCCGCCACCAGAAGTCGATCATGAAGTCCCAGCGCAACGCCCTCCTTATTGCCTCAGCTCTCATCTTCTACTGGTTGCTCTACTCGGTTACTGGTCTTGTTGTGAAGGTTGATCAGTTGAACAAGCGCTTGGAGAAGTTGAAGTCCCAGGATTGATTTCTGGGTCAATCAGATAAGTTTCTTTTGTCTCGATCCGTCAAACAATTGCAATTTGACAATTTCAGGATCTGTGTTTTGGGTGACTTTGTATTGTATTGCACGCCTATTACTGCCTATGTACATCGAGGGTTTCCTTTCCGATCATTTCTGCTTTCTTTTTGTGGGTCTTTTGGCTTGTTTCTGACTATGTGGAATTCGGTATTAGTAGAAAAGCGATCGCTGTAATCGAATTATGTGAAATTTTGTGGAATTAAAATAATCCCTTTTGTTCTTGGCATTTAAATTATTGTCAATTTGGTACTGGTTGGCTCTTTTTGCTGTGTTTCGTGTGTTTTATTCTATACATTGTACTACACTGCAATGTGTGGCGTATGGACTACACGGGCTTCGAACTAGTTCAATTATGGTTGATGTGTATTCCAATTTGTCTGTCATAATCTGAACTTGGGGCTTAAATTAGATTTGTTATCATTAGACTATAGGAATTTGATGGGTTATTACTTGTGAACTTGTTTCTGTTTTGATTGGGGCTGAAATTAGATTGTTACCATTAGACTATAGGAATTTCATGGGCTATTACTTGTGAACTTGTTTTTGTTTTGATTGATGTCAAAGTGAGAGTAAATAAGTGGGCATGTGGTTATACCTTGTAGTTTTCAAATCCACACATGGTTGGAGTTTCCATCCCTGGATCATAATGTAGGCCTTATGGGTGAAGTAAAATATCAGCACAAGTGTGCTTGGAAATGATAGACAACACCATCCTTTCAATAAGTTGGAAGAAGTTCGAAAGGTAATTTTTAGCATGTTTGCGCACCCTTACCCCAAAAAAGGCCTCTCCTATGCTTTAAAGCCTGATGGCCGTGCATCACAAATTCACAATACTTGTGTTTGTTTACATCTTACAATAGGATCAACAGGTTAGATAATATAAAGCAGCTTGAAGCCTTTGCATATTGACTTCCCAGTTTTCATCCTTATACCATGCCCTGGGGCACCAAAATAATTATTGGGCCCGATTTTCCTTCCTTTTTTAGTGGACCTTTATTTGACAGTGCTCTTTAGAAGATTAGAATTTTTGGTTAGTTGTGTTGCTAAAGTTATGATGGTCAATAATCTCAAGAAGCTTGATAGATGTATTGGGTCTGTAAATTGTGCAGCATGCCACCAAAAACCATCCTAAGTTTTCCCAATCCCAGAGACAATTGAGGACTCCATTGCTGTCTTTATACTTAAAACATCACCCAAATTATACTTAATTTTCTCCTTTCCATCGAAAACCTCCTTCATCATGGTTCTAGTCTCCGAAATTTTGCATTTCATTTGTTTTCTTCTAGGAAGCAGTGATACTTTCCGGAGTGGTGTCATGGTAGTGTCGGACAAGTGTCTGACACGGTGTGTCTTGAATAGTGAACTTAGTTTGACATGGTTAGGACCATGGTTACTATAATTCACTAAACCCTTAACGATCCGCGATGTGGGTACATCAATTTGAAACGTGGTGAGTTCGCAATCCAGATTATCAAAATTGACAACCCCAAATTGCAATACTAACCATAAATCAATTCGCTTTAGAACATGTAGCACAAATATAAAATATATATTAATTGACTATATGTATANCGCACCCTTACCCCAAAAAAGGCCTCTCCTATGCTTTAAAGCCTGATGGCCGTGCATCACAATTTCACAATACTTGTGTTTGTTTACATCTTACAATAGGATCAACAGGTTAGATAATATAAAGCAGCTTGAAGCCTTTGCATATTGACTTCCCAGTTTTCATCCTTATACCATGCCCTGGGGCACCAAAATAATTATTGGGCCCGATTTTCCTTCCTTTTTTAGTGGACCTTTATTTGACAGTGCTCTTTAGAAGATTAGAATTTTTGGTTAGTTGTGTTGCTAAAGTTATGATGGTCAATAATCTCAAGAAGCTTGATAGATGTATTGGGTCTGTAAATTGTGCAGCATGCCACCAAAAACCATCCTAAGTTTTCCCAATCCCAGAGACAATTGAGGACTCCATTGCTGTCTTTATACTTAAAACATCACCCAAATTATACTTAATTTTCTCCTTTCCATCGAAAACCTCCTTCATCATGGTTCTAGTCTCCGAAATTTTGCATTTCATTTGTTTTCTTCTAGGAAGCAGTGATACTTTCCGGAGTGGTGTCATGGTAGTGTCGGACAAGTGTCTGACACGGTGTGTCTTGAATAGTGAACTTAGTTTGACATGGTTAGGACCATGGTTACTATAATTCACTAAACCCTTAACGATCCGCGATGTGGGTACATCAATTTGAAACGTGGTGAGTTCGCAATCCAGATTATCAAAATTGACAACCCCAAATTGCAATACTAACCATAAATCAATTCGCTTTAGAACATGTAGCACAAATATAAAATATATATTAATTGACTATATGTATATAGATTTATAATTATATATTGTTTTAGATAATAAAAAATCAAGCAAAATTTTAAGATAAATGGTAACTAACTTGGTGTTTATGAATGATTTGTAATATATAATATTGAATAATAGTGAAAACGATCTACATAAGTGTTCCAAAACGAATAGCGACCCAAAATACTGTATCAGCTAAATCTACCCCCATCGTACCACTTACTTAAGAAAATGTCGTATCATGTACCCGTACTTGTACCACGTACCAAAATGATCCACGATCCAGGTAACATTGGTTAGGATATGGTCAGGATACGTGTAGGATACGGTCATGATACATCTAGGATAAGGGTAGAATACAACGAGAAATTTGTTTTAAAAAAATAATTGTTGACTATTAAAAGAGGTGTTATTTCTAATTTTTTTTAATATAATTTTTCTTATGTAACTTATATACTATGAATGCCAATGAATGTGATGATATTTGATGAAAATATGGATATTTATTTTGATCTATTTTAATTTTAATTAAAAAATTAATATTTGTTACGTCTTAGTGTTAATATTGTTATAATATATGTTTTATTTCTAATATATTACAACTCTATTATTATTTTAAAATATATTATATTATTTTAATAGGCGTATTCTTGTTGTATCCGTATCCTATATTTTTTCAATTTGTCGTATTCCTTTATCCGTATCCGTGCTTCCTAGGTTTTCTTTTATACTTCAATAATTAAGTTCTCAAGATTGAGATTGTCAAGTAGTTCCTTGAATTCCATGCTATATATACATATATGTCGTATGAATGATCGACACCAATGATATGCTTCAAAAAATAAGGCCCCAAACAAGCCTTTACCCATAATGGTGTGTCATGTGCAAGAATAATTGTTAGAGTGTAAATCCTCTATTTTTGCGTTGTCTGATCGCATTGGCTTTATGGAACAAATTGTTTGACTTGGCAGGCATTCTTGGGTGGCTTCATGTACTATAACAACAATGTTGTGTGTGGACTACAAAGGATTTGGAAAAAAAAGTAAAGGAGTTACTCTTTGAGAATGTGCATTTTTTGCTGGGTGATTTAGTTGGAAAGAAACTCAAGAGTTTTTGAAGATAAGTATGAGATTGTTGAGTGCCATTGCTATGTGCACACTTCTTAAAAAATATAAATAAAGCGAAAAATAGAATAGGAGAAGAAATCCCACTTTGAGGGGATGAAAACATCCGTTGATTCACTTCGAGGGGAACCGGACCTCCAAATATTTTATTAGAAAGTTTATCTCATATTCAATATACCATTTTCATTGATAAAAAGACCTTTAAATACAAGTTGATAAAAACTACATTAATAACTATTCTAATTGATGACTTCACCATGTTAGTAACCATCTAGAAAAATAATGACAAAATACTCTATCACTAACTACTCACTAATAATCTTCCAATAACCAATTCCTATATTACATAAAAAATATGTTAAAAATGTGCACATAACATTCCATTCCCCTTAAAAAAAAAAACTGTCTCCAAAGTTTAATTTGTCATGTAAGGAAGGAGGAGGCCAACCCACTTCCATATTCTCATAACAGTCAACTTGATTCCAATTTTTGCCACTATTAAGCATACAACAATTTTATATCCATTGAATTGCAGCGACAATCTTCAAGGTGGCCAGATTTGAAGCTTGAACATCAAATCTAATGATATCCTTGAATCAACTTCCCAAACATTCCGCTGGTGGTTGTTGAGGTGCATTGTGGCCACGTGCAAGTAAGCTTGTGAAATGGGTATAATTGTCTTGAATGCAGTCCGCTGGCTTCAAGTTAATAAGGACCCATGTAAAGACATCATTCTCTTTCTTGTACATTTGACACCACAGCAGTGACCTCTTCATCAATGTCCATTTGTTCGTACCTACAGAATTGTTCAGTTGGACAAACCTTATGGGTGGTATCTTTCTTGCTATCATTTAGCGAAGAATTCAACTTTGAAATTTTGGGGGTCATCAAGTAAGCAGAATATGAGGGGTTAATATTTTTGCCTTTTTCATTGCGTTGGGTTGACCCTTCACTTTGCTCATGGCAATGACCTTGATTGGCCACTAATTGATCAAAGCGAGTATTTATGATGAGGAATAACTCTTGTATCTACTTCATCATCCTTTATTGTCTGACACTTGGTGAATGAACTTTCGTTTCAAGTCCACTAACTCAGTTCTCTATATCTGGTTGTGATACCAATTGTTACGTTCACACTTTTATAAAAAATATAAATAAAGCAAAAAATAAAATAGGGAATGAAAACCCACTTCGAAGCGGTGAAAACCTCCGTTGATTCACTTCGAGGGGAACCAAACCTCCAAACCTTTTATAAGAAAGTTTATCTCACATTCAACATACCATTTTCATTGATAGAAAGGCTTTCAAATACAAGGTGATAAAAATTATCTTCACTCCACTATCTAAGTAACCCATAACTCCACTATCTTAGTAACCTCCTAGAAAACTACTCACAAAATACTCTATCACTAACTGCTCACTAATAATCTTCCAATAACCAACGCCTAAATTACATAAAAACTATATTAAAAATGTGCACATAATAGCCTTTGGAACCAAATTCATTTTTCCCAACTTTTTGGGCTTCGGTTTAAAAGCATGTTGCAAATACCTTTTTTGGGAATTTTGGCAAGTCGGATGGCTGCTTGTGACTGATTAGTTTGATGTCATTTGTATCTTTCCTTTTTAACGTAATGCTGTTGATGGACTACATCATTTATCTTTTAATAAAATTGAATTTCCTATCCAAAAAAATACTTGTATGTATGTATGTATGTATGTGTGTGNAGGTTGCAAATACCTTTTTTGGGAATTTTGGCAAGTCGGATGTCTGCTTGTGACTGATTAGTTTGATATCATTTGTATCTTTCCTTTTTA